GATGTTGGCACCCGCTATCCCGTTCCCTACTGAACCATCTTTAATGTCACCGTGAAGTTCCGAAATGGTGGGCACAGTCTTTACTAAGGTGACCTTGTTAGTATTGGCCTAATCTAGCGGTCCAAGACAAGTGATGAGAGGACCTTAGTAGGTAGACAGTACAGTAGCAGATATGTTGGTGATTTCGTAAGGGGGTTGTAGGTAGCAAGTTGACAACCAGGTAATGTACAGTAGTCATATTCCACTCTCTGAACACATATCCCAGTTATTCCTTTCGAGTCTTATTTAAACATAATGTTGCGGACATTCCGACACAGGATCCTCGAACCCGAGTCGAGAGGAAACTATTTGCACACAATATTGTATCCCCTTTCCTCATGGGAGCGGCAAGTGTTATTACAATTATTATTACGTGCTCGCAACTGCATAAGATCATATGAGCGCCAAGGTGTGGATGTCAACAGAGAAGTCCAAATGGGAAATCAGACTTAATCTGCTCACCTCTCTAGCCTCAACAGCACAAAGCCTGCTTCGACTATCAAGGCATCAAGGCACCCCGGATATAGCAGTTTACAAGAGAGTGACAAACATGCGAAAGAAGTAGAGAAAAAATGACGATAGTAAGGATGAGGAAAGAAAAAGCAGCAGTTCCCCCAATGTTGTTCCGGCACAGTATGAACATGACATTGCTAAATCAGCCCATTTACAATTGTACTGTGCATAATAAGAACATGTTAATATCTGCCCTTTGGGAATGTCCTACAGACAACTTCAGTCAATAGCACTGCCCTAGTGTGGAGTAGTAGTAGTTGTAGCAGTAGTAGGAGTAGTAGCAATAGCAGTAGTTGTAGTAGTAGCGCAGCACCAGTAGTAGTAGTAGTAGTAGTAGTAGTAGTAGTAGTAGTAGTAGTAGTAGTAGTAGTAGTAGTAGTAGTAGTAGTAGTAGTAGTAGTAGTAGTAGTAGTAGTAGTAGCAGTAGTAGTAGTAGCAGTAGTAGTAGTAGTAGTAGTAGTAGTAGTAGTAGCAGCAGCAGTTGTAGTAGTAGTAGTAGCAGCAGTAGTAGTAGTAGTAGTAGTAGTAGTAGTAGTAGTAGTAGTAGTAGTAGTAGTAGTAGTAGTAGTAGTAGTAGTAGTAGTATTGTTATTTTTATTATCATTCCTCTTTTTCTTCTTCCTATTCTTAATATTATTATCAATATTGTTATCACCATCATCATCATCATCATCATCATCATCATCATCATCATTATCATTATTATCGAACAAAGCCCAAAAATTATAGATAGATAGATAGATAGATAGATAGATAGATAGATAGATAGATAGATAGATAGATAGATAGATAGATAGATAGATAGATAGATAGATAGATAGATAGATAATGTGTGTGTACTATTTCCGTATGAGTGTATGTACGTAAGCACGCATATTACATTTTGAACTGTAATCACCATCAAAAGGTAGCGTGAGTCCACAGTTGAGATTATGCATAAAGCAGGAATTATCTCGAAGTAATGTATGAATAAATATGACAGATGTCTCGATCCTAAAGAGTTGACAAGTCCGTGAATCACTCATCAAATAGAAAATTATTGGGTGATACCCGTGTTCATATGACTCAGAGGCCAAAAGGTTGGATGCATTGGCAAGGTCGCTTGTGGTTTGTATTTAATGCTGGCTGATAGTTTTTGTTTCATAGTTTCTATTATTTACTTTGCATCTTTTCTTTCATTGCCTTTCTGAAAAAAGGGAGGGTGTATTTCTTTTGGATGTTTTAACAGGTCCATTTCTGAGTAAATAGGTGCCCATTGATACAATAATGCTCATTGAGTACAGGGAAATAATAAGACAGAGGGAAAGAAACAAAAGAGGGATAGAACAGAAGTAGTACCGACCAGTTGTGCCATTCAACCACCCACCGTTAAACAGGCGAATATGAATGTAGTTCTGGGACACTTGAATAGACACAAAGGTTTTGAGCATCTTGCTATCCCTGAAAAACATATGACAAATGGAATCCCACAAAAATCTGAGCTTTAACAGGTGGGAATCGAGTGCTAGCTGTAGGTGGGCAATGGTAGGTCCCATCTCTTTACTTTCCCTTTGTTGTTTCTGTCTGTCTATCGGTCTTACTTTTTCCCAGCACTAAAGTACCACTATTGAGCCGATGTCCTTCTCTCTACCCAAATAAATAAACAAACAAACAAACTTCGTGGGCAAGGCCAATAGCCCAACAACGACATCAAAGTCACGGCTTTCCAGAACCAATATTAAGGCCACCCAGCCTACAAGCAATTTCCATGGTGACTTCCACTGACCCTCTTTGAGACTGATCGGACGCCCTAATCTCAGTCTTTGCTCTGCAGACTCCCTTCCGGGTAAACGTAAAGTGAAATATAACAACCCCCCCTCCCCCTACTACACCTCTCCTATATACAAATTAGCTTGGTCGAGAGAGCCACATCCAGGATCGCAGTTGGGAAGAGGGTGAAGGGGAAAGGGGTCACCGTGGGGTCGTATTTATATCCTCGAGGAAACAGGTCACTGCTCCTCGTAATCGTTGTGACGCTCATATACGCATTTACTTTTTTGTGTTTATACGAATGGCTGGCGCATCTATTAATAAATTATTAATGATCTAGATCTAGTACGGTTTGGTTTAAATGTAAGGTCTTCCGTATAAAAATTACGGATTTTAGGAACTCACGCGTATTTAGAGAATTGAAGATGGAGTTGTTTTTTTCGTTGGTGTCGATTAAACGAGACGAAACCGGGTCCAAGTAAATGCCGCGTTAGCATGTTTCAGTTGACAATGTTTCCCTGTTTTATCAAGATCAAAACTTAACCCCCCCCCCCCCCCTAACAAAAAAAAACAGGTAATGGTTTCAAAAGAAACTACTATATAAAGTTAACATTATTGCTATAGTTGTATATCATCTCTGGTATTACGACCACATTTATTCAGCTCAACTCTTGGTCGACCCTCTGGTTCCAGTATTCCTACTTTGCAACAACAGTGGGACACACGCAGTGCTGGTAGACGTTCAAACATTATCACTTTGTCATTGGTATGCTCAGTCCATGTCGAATGTCAAGTTAGTGTTTTTTCTGTTGTTGTTGTTGTTGCTGCGGGGGGGGGGGGGCAGCTGTTGTTTTTTTTTGTTGTTGTTTTTTTTTAGAGGGGTGGTATTTGTAAACGTCTTAAAGCCCCTGTTCATATATTTTTAATGATGCAGGAGACGGACTCTTTCGATCCAGTGTGCCAGGGCCAATCTGTGCTGAAAAGGGTCCAAAGTCCCAGCAGCAAGACGGAAACACTCGTTCTAAATTACCTACATGGGAACGGAACTCGCCCCTCCAGCGTGCGAAGGAAAGCTGCATTACCACCATACCTCAGAAACTGGTGTATCCTTCTGTAGCAGCGTAAACTGGGAAGAAGAGAAAAGTACAATACCCCACGATTCATTCATCGTCCTTCTCTGGGCAAAGCTAGAAATCGACCTCACGCCTTTCTGGTGTACATTCGACGTCTGAGTGAGCAATTGACAATGGTGTTTGTATTTTTCCATTAAAAAACGTGAGCCTGCTTCTGAGCGCTACCAGCTTTTTAGGGCATCGGGCCGCGCAAATTGTGTGAATGATTGATAGGGTTAACGCCCCACTAGGTTCTTTCGAGGCCAGAGCACGCAACCCTATGGTTAGTGAAAAGAAGACAATAGAAAGAGTCAAAGAAACAGAGACGGTAAATACAAAAAAAACATTACTTTAAGGATCCCCACGGTAGATGTTTATTACTTTGTACCACGTACGCAATATGTATATTAATCTTTTAAATGATTACCCCTCCTAATTTGTTTGAAGTAGTTTTGATTGTACGGATCGGAGCGGGGGCACTGTTTTTTGTGTATGTTTTTGGTGTTGTCGTTTTGTTTTGTTTTTGGAGGGGGTCGTTTCCTCTGGAGAGGATTGAAGAATTTTGATTCTTTTTTATTGGGGGTGTTCTATTTCATTTATAATGGACTTTTGTTTGTTACAATGTTGAATGCTTTCTTTGTTCCGAACTGAGATGAAAAAAAAACGCACTGGACCGACTGACTGGCGTATTCATAAAAGCTCAAAATTTGAAGCCAGGCATTTATTTGGCTCTGGCGGAGAAAATAATTTACCTGCGGAATTATCTTATCACAATTTCACGAGCTTAGTGTTATCTTGTAATAGCTCCATTTTTTCCAGGTTTTAGAGTAATGTAATTTGAAAGAAATATTCCAGACGCGAAAGCTGATGATAGAAATAAATGGAAACTGAAATTCTACGGAACGCTGGCAATAATCGTCATAACTCTCAATAGCCTTGACAGTCCCAAAAAGTCCCAAAAGTTGAGAACTATAGTAATTGCAAGATGACACTCAGCTCGCGATTTGAGTGAAATCAATTTCTCTTTTGGGTAGCAAAAAGAAATCTGCACATATGAAAGTGCAATGTCTTCATTTTCCTTAACAAAGATATTATTTTTATACCGATGCTTGCCTAAGTAGACGAAGACATCGTGACCGGCCCCCTGATGGATGCCAGTGGCTGTGCGGGGCTGTATCACAACTGATAGCCAAAACTGATCTTGAAAAAAGGAGTTCATCTTGTTTTTTAATGAGGAATGAAATTCTAATAATGTCTGAGTTCTTTCATTTACTTAAAAATATTAGGGATAAATGTATTCATAGTAAAAGAGAAGGTATTAATATTTTTGCTGCCACTCTCAAAATATCAATAAATGCCAAGACATAAATGACGTAATAGGGGGTAGGATTCTGTAACAAAATTGTTTAACTTGAGTAAACAGACAACGGGTATGCAACATACAATATGAAGAATTAAGACTGACAGATACAAATAACGAAAGAAGAGACAATACTTATGACCTCCAAGAGGAGCACTACATTCACCCGCACGGGTATGTTATCATTGTGCAGCAGACAATAAAATTTTAATGATAACAGTACTCACGTAAGAAATCATGGGTACGTTGAAAGCCGCTGCGAGTCTGGCCTCGTGCACACATGTCTCCTGAGGGCCTATGATAGCGTGCACCTTCTTGTTAATAAACTCCGCGGTTTGATGAAGACTCTCTATCTCCTCCCCTCTGGTGTCCCCGATGACGAACTTGAGAGTCGTGTTGGGGAGAAGGTCAGGGTCATCGTTGACTTTCTGCACAGCGTACGTGATTGCGCCCGAGATGAGATGGCCCCACGGGATGTACAACGCCCCTTTTTTCTTGTCCAAGCTGGTAAGGTACCCTAAAATAATTTCTTCTGGCGCCTCGTAGAAAATCTTTGGCTCTGAGGTCGTCAAATTATCGTCGCTGTAGTCTTCGTCGGTAAAGTTGAAGAAGAAAGGATAGGAGTTGTTGAAGTTTCTATCGTTGTCATTGTTATTTGGGTACGTAGCCGGGTCTCTGACTAGTGAAGACGAAAAGAGCGTGGGAGTTCTGTTTTTCGGGAATTTCGATGTGCTATGTTTTGAGGTTGAATCAGATTTAGAATGAGATGATGAGGATGGAGACGCATTAAGGCCATTTGGAACAAGGAGTGTTAAGATACAAATCCAAAGGACATATTTTTCTGATATTTTATAGGAATTGCTGACTCCTGAAGTGAAATAATGAAGTGTATAATTCCACACTTTCGGTGCGCAAAAAGCCGTTGACATGTTTACTCCGCCAGTGTAATTTCGTCATGGTAAAAGATGAAATTCTTCGCCTCCATTATTGCAGGCAACCGACGAATACTCCTAATCTTCCTGTTTCTTGTCAACATCCAAAGCCAGCCGTCTCATCGGAGGTTCTGACAGTCTGTGAAATGAATTGAAACTCAGTTTATATTTCGTCAGAAAATACGTGTAGGATAATAATTGTCAAAGGTGTCAAAAACAGGAAAGCAAAAAGACAGACAAGCAAGATTTTTTTTCTAAATTCAGGTGCTTTTACGCCCCGATCTTTGGTTTTTAAGGAGGCGAGTTTTCTACTCTGCTTGTCAGGGCCACCCTGGGCTGAGAGTGATACATCTCAACAGAAACACAAAGACATTTGTTAAAAATTGCACTCCACTTTGGAATCAAATTCGTGTATACTGACTACATGCGACAATGAAGCGCCCAACTGCTACACCACAGACACAGATCAACGAGCAAGAGAACAAAGGGAAAAAAAGTAAGTTGCACATGTCATGGGTTGAGAATCACTGTGTACATAATATCAACTATTTGGCTAATTGAAAAAGTGAGCATGGAAGATTCATATATAAGCTTATGTTTACGGCATTGTTTATATTGGATACAGAGCAGTTATTGAGGTCAATAAAATATGCTCCTTGCCAACATGCTTCAAAGAACACTTTCCACAGTTCACAGTCAGTTCACGAAAAACTCACATATAACTAATATTGCCTCTGAAACATGCTATTTTTAGGACTGATTGAATATACCCGGATAATTTTGAATTGCAAAGTAAGAAAAGAAAATAATATAGTATGGAAAGATGCGACTCCCCCCTCCTCCACCCCCCCCCCCCCCCCAACCCCCAAACCCGGGGCCAGTCTTTGATAGGGTGTCACTCACTTATCCACCCCGACCTTTTAGTTTCAGGGATCGCATCTTTCCCTTGCATTCCACGAGTCTTTCCTCCGACACTCGTCCAATTTAAGGGTCAGTACGGCACCGGTATAGCAAAAAGTTGTACCAAGACATTCCACAGTGTGAATCCTGTCGCCGGACATCTTTACCATTATGTCTAGTCGGAAAATAAACTGATACAGAAACCAGTGAGAGACGGTACTTTTCATAGTATTCCTCGAAATCTATTAACAGCACAGGAGTGTTAAATAACAGCAAACAATCTGTAACTGGTCTGCTTTAATCTTACATTAGACAAAATTATCTCAGGTTTATTTCGTGTCGATATGTCTGAGATGTGGAATCTGGGCTACCAATATATCTAAGAGTTTTAAAAGTATCGAAAAGCGAGTGATATTCGTTAAGGGGAATAACAATAGTTACCATAAGTCTTTGTCTGTGAAATTCTTATAGCTCATTATCGTTTTGTCTTAGCTGCAAAATAGTATCCAGGTTGATCCTAACAGCTTTTACTAATTGCGAGCAACAGTCTATCCCCAAATGATCTGCCGATCTGATAGTTCCGGTATCGATCAGAGAACACGAGCATTGTTCCTCCTCTGGGAGATGCATTATACCAAAGACGATTTTGTAAGATAGCTCAGTCCTCTGTTTGAGAAATTAAGTAAGCTTCCTAAATGGCTTGGGCGGCGAATTTTTCTGTTTAAAAAATCGCTATTTCTGGGTTTTGGCATTTGTTCTGTCAGAGATTGTATTTTAAAAAAACCACCACCTTCTTTTAAGAAAAGAAGAAAAACACGCTCGTGCAATCAATGTCCAAACAAAAAATAGATGTGTTTATCAGAAAGTTTTGTTTAGTTTCTCAGCAGGTGCCCTCTGAAAAGTTGAACGTTTATTTTCCGTACACAATCAACGCCACCTCATAAAATGAGCCTTTTAACGACAACGGCATAAGTATCATCGTCAGAACTACTAAGGAGTATTGTTTCTTTCTTTCGTCTCCCTAAGAAAGTAGTAACTTGTCGTCTAGCCAACTTTCTGTAGTCGTTCCTAGTGAGAAGAAACAATGATTGTACTGAGATAACAAAATGTCTTCTCTGGCACTGGTGGCGATAATTACATTTTTGTTCGTAGAAACAGTTTGTCGCTTGGTTAGGAGAAACGCATTATATATAACATACCTTTCTACGTGAAAGATTATTCTATGGAATGAGTTATTTTTCGGTTTGAGAAACGAAAAAGTATACTATTCAAGCAAACATATAGGAGAGAACTCGTTTCCTTCTGAAATCTTAATTGTATGTCTTGTACAAAGGCATTGATGATACGTTTGGCATTTAAGTAATTCTGTAGTAATACAGTCTGAGCTGAAGTTTGATCCTAAACCTGCAACAGTAACCATTTATATATTGTTCGTATAGAGGATTGATGGCTCCATATCCCGTCAAATAGAAACAGTGCTGATGAACGGCTCTAGGAGACTGTCCTGTTATCACAGGCACATTTGATTTTCTTTCTCTGTTTTGTTTCCACCTGTCTAATTTGCGTTCCCAGCACTAAATGACCCTTACTGGTTTGGTTCTCTTCACCACCAAATCAGACAGGCACATGTTTAAAGTCTAAAACCTAGATCAAAAATTTAAAAGAATTATAATTTCCTGTTAAGAATTGAATATTGCCTTACTTGTAATCGCCTGTCCTAATAACCCTCCCCCCTCCCCCGACCCAGTCTGTAAAAACATTCACTGACTTGGTACAGCCCTCATGTCGCGTTGTAGAGGAGTTGCAAGTACATCTTCCTTAGTTGACGCCAAAAGGATAATCAACTTAATTGCAGTCTCCTGAGGTAGGTGCCCGATTTAGATTATCAAAATAAATGGATTTGAAATAAAAACACCTGAATACGGTTCACTACGTGAACGAAATTCATTCAAATGCAATGAGCTTTTGAATTGAATCTAAACTACTGATTAACTATCTTACTTTCTTGTTTGAAAATGAAAAATGAGGGGGCTTATGAGGGAAATATTATAAAGATAGATCGAAATACGATTACAAATGTCTATGATGACAACAAAGGTGACTGAGTTTCTTCAGGGCTCGCATGGGTACACAACTAGACGGTCATATAATCGATTTATGATCGCCTAGGTACACAACGAAGACGGCCTTACAAACTGCTCGTGTGGAGCTACTCGTCTGACGTAAATAACCAAGCCGAGGCCTGACAATATCGAGGTCGTTCGTTTCAAAACACGGGAAACACTCGGGAGAAGTGGCTTTTGTGGGTGCATTTATTGCTGTCTCAAGTTCCTGTGCACCGTGAGGTGTTATTGAGAACAGGATGGCGTTTTTGTTATAAGTTTCTCCTATGATAGAAGTAATATCTCAGTGTCTCCCCATAGACGCTTTGTAAATATCATTGGATAGCGACGACAACACTGTTCTCTTTTTATTACCTCGTTTCGCAACAATACTGAGGTATTAGCATTTTATCACCATAACACCGTGAGCAGGAAATGATTACTCACAACACGAGGAAAAAATTAAACTCCAAGCTTTTTTGAGCACATTTGCATATCCCAGACACCGTTAGTGGCCTGAGATATCTAACAAAAAATATTGTATATCTTTATGCGTGTACATAGCAGAAAGAGTTCAATATGTGGCGATAAAATGGGCGAGGATCCAATTCATCCCGAAACTGCACGCTTGTGTAGATGTTGGCTCTCATGGCAGTTAAAACCAGTATTGCCCCTTTCGCAAAATGAAATACCTCGGCCGGTTTCAGATTCTCGCAATTTTCATATTTTTCAAATAAAGCCATGGTTTGCTTATGTTTAGGAAAATATGTCCAATAATGTCTGGAAATAAGAGCGTATCCAGCATTTAATATCCAACCTTCGTTTCCTTCCAAACGAATTTCGTAAGCAGGGGCATTTAGTTCTGTTCATTTTCAAGGGATGAAGAGGGAGACGTTATCCTTTAGGCATATTGATCTATACGTTCACTCGGAGATAGCATTGATTATGGCATTTGAAGGTCAATCATGTGCTCTTCGTCGTGTTTTCTTGTTGGCTTAAACGTCACTTTCATGTAGTCCATTAACGAAGTAAATTCGAGATTCCAAATTAAGACTGTTTATAAATGTTTTACTCCCAAAATTATTCATGGAAATTGGTTTTAAAGAGAAGTGCACGGTTGTGAGCTGAATCTCAAAATATATTTGTCCAGTGGCGGGGCGCCATGGGTGCAATTGGTGCAAGCGCTCCACCTAACCCTGGCCTTCACCCCCCCCCTCCCTTTCTAATTGTTCTAAACCAGCCAGTGCTCTAGATCTACATCTAAATCCTTGCGATCCGTCACCCGCTGGCTGCACCAGTGAAGGGATAGACGGCGAGGATGGTTTATGCTCGTCGCACCGGTTGCGGTAGTGTCTGCTGGGAGCAAGCAAAATCTTTGCACCAAAGTTATTTTTGTCACTGTAGAGAAATCTTGGCATCGTCTTTCCCACACAAGAAGAAAGGTGCATGAAACTGCTCTTCGCGGCACAAATTTGGTGCAAGCTAAAAATTTGATCCAAGTTTCCGCGAGCCTATCTACTACACTAGTAGAGTCTACGGTAACTCAATGAAGAACGGGTATCGAAACTGTTGTCTCCCTCTATTGTGTAGCAAGTCCTGGTGCTGCAAGAAGTAATTAGAAATCTTTTAATCTTCTCAGATGGTGAGCGTAGTGAGTTGTTAGTAATGTTTCACTTTATTGCAGCTTTTATGCGGTTTCATCTAGAAACAGATACAGTTGTAAATATCGATAGATCTAGATTACGGGATATCCTGCAGATTCTAATTGACTTTCTCTAGAAATCTAAATAGTAGCTACCAATCCTATTGCCCTTTTGCTCACTTTCCAATTATGCACCACCTTGTTTGCAACCCACGCGACACCACTGTATTTGTCTGAAGTTTTATCTGACTTACATGCTTTGTGGGCCCAGATCTGCTTTCTGTGATGTTTTCTTTGTTTGTGAGGTTGGAGCGTGTTACTTTTTTTGTTGTTTGTTTAGTTTGTTGTTGATTGGTTTTATTTTTTGCTTTGATTTTTTAAAGAATTATAATTAACATAAGAATGATAAGACTCATCGACAATATTTAAGCAATTCAGGTGGAAACGGTTTTGTCAAATAAATGCCTGCAGATACATAAAGTACCCGAAAGAGTATGTTCCCCAAATTATGTTAACTGATCTCAAGTCTTTTGTGGGAAATATCTAAGTACTTAAAGCCAAGAATTGATTCTCCTTTCTTGATAGCAGCATGTTAAATTACAAAACTGTTTGAATATGATGCCAACGTATTTGCAAAACAACGAAAGAGATGTTCGAATGAGAGTGTAATTCAGTTAATATAAATAATTAAATCTGTTCTCTCACAGGCTTCGTGATTACTGACTCGTGAAAACGATCTCGTCAAAGCTTCAGTGAGAATAATTATGTTATATAAGTTAAAGCATG